GGCCGGCTAGATCAGGCATGATCACAGCCGTAACAAGTACAAGTAAGTAAGAGGCAGTACAAAATCTGCGCAACAACGAAGCGTCCGGGGAGGACATCTGCTTTTGTCGACTTCGCTGCTGCGTTCGATCCCATCTATCTTGAGACCCATTATGTTCAATTACTTCATTGACTAAATACTTGGGGAGGCCCTACATGAGGAGCACGGTGTTGCGCTTTCACCCGGACGTCGGCTGACTGATCCTGACTACGCCGATAATGTCGCCCTGCTATCCTCAAGGTTTGGTGACCTACAGTCTGTGATGTTACGGGGATAATGTTATCCCGTACTGCTTGCTCAATCAGCTCATGTATGGAACTTGAGCGCCAGAGATGCTAAATACAGAACTTGTAAACTCCAACGGGAATCCTATTCCCTCTGCTCACCTTGTTGTTTTGAAGAGGGATAAAACTCCGCTGCAGAGAAGAAAGAATAGGTGACAGGTCGTTCATGGCCGAGTTACTAGCAGTAAGACCTATCGAATCATGAACAGGGTCATTTAGGCGTGTGGCAAACGTTAAAAATACGCCTCGTGTCAGGTAGACCACAGCGCCGAATCTTGTCAGTAGACGGAACCCGAACTTGTCCGGTATATTGCGGTAGAACAACTGATGCTGATTCAGTTCATACTTTCTGTTCAATTATTGACGCGCTTTCAGACTATCGGGTTTTGCTTAACGTCGGGAGGATAACTTGGTCTTTCGCCTAACTGATGATCAGGCTGTAACGGATTCTTATTGGGACTTAAGCGGCAACTCATTCAATGTAGTATCTGTGCCCCCTTTTTCAATCTAGTACGTGTATCGTACGCGTCTCATAAATGCGACCACTACTCACCCATCTCTATTCGTTCGGAGCTTTGGGGCCTTTAGAAAGTTAGGCGGATTGAACATAATTTCCTTTCTCACTCACTGTTCCCTGACGGCAATTGTTGTCCTCGTTGATACTGAATTGCAAAATGTTGCGTTCGTGCCCATGGCGACGTGACTTTTACTGTGTCACCTACAATTCCACATCCCCCATCGATGCTACTTTGAGGGTTTCTTGATCACCATGTAATATATAAGTTTCCTCACGAGGGAGACAGACTCTCAAGGCCGCTGTAGCATTGCCAAACTTAACCTCAGTATAGAATCTAACCTACTATTTCGATATTTCATCATTGTGTCGGACTCTGGAGAGCTCTCTAGTTCGTACGGTCGTCAAAGGTTTTCCCTCGGCCTGGAATAATTCTATCGATATTCAGGAAATTCCAGTAGTAATGGCATGTTCGTCATCGACTGATTGCTTGTTTTGTTGCGTCAGTCCTAGCGCTAGCCCCCAACTTAATTTCAGGAAGCTTTATGACCATTAGGCAGATGTCAAATTAGAATGTGTGAGATCTGCCTCAGGCGGCGTAGTCCACAAAGTTGCACTTATTATATATTTGGTATCGCCTTTTGCTACCGTCTCGTTCTTATTATCTTCTTTTGACATACCAAACGTATGCTATTTACGCGCACTCTGTTCGCTACTGCACTATACATATATTTATATTGTTTTTTTTTAACTGTAGGACAAACTCAAGTGTACCCTCGATCGATAGCTTACTCATGTCAGCTGAAGTCGGCACTCCTAATCCTGATAGTTCATTCAATTGGAAATGTGTCATCTGTAACCTTGGTTTTACGCAAAAAGGGGCTCTCTTACATCACCTGCAGACGCCTGATCATCGAGCAAATATTCCTACTGAAGATCCGAATCCCTACCCAGAACCGGTTCCTCAAACTCCCAAGCTTGAACCAGAGCCCGCGGTCGTGGCACCTCAGACTTCGGTCTTATCTGCCTCAGCTTCCCTTCCCTTGAAACTCGAGGACCTTAAAGAAGTCATTCGTCAGATGATTAGAGAGAACCTAACGAGGATTGTTCAAGAGGAGCTACAAACTGCCTTCTCTCCTTATTACCAGCAAAATGTATCTTCGACTAATCTTTTAATCCACTAACTCCATCTTCTCTCCCCCCGCTAACGACGGTTTTATCGACCTCATATTCTTGCGCCTCCCGTCCTGCAGCAGTCTAAACACTATTTTCTCCTTATTTTTTCATCCACTTTCTTATATTTCATTTTATCGTCGTCACTACTGCCACTCGGCGTTATGTTTCTCCGCACGATCATCCTGTTCAGTCTAAGAATCCTGCTAATTACTAAGCCTATAATTCAGAGCAAGAAAGCCATGACCTGTGAACCTCACAGTTCACGTAGTCGTCATTCCAGTTAAAGATGGAACTCCGTCCGTTTGGTAGCTAGCATTTGCATACCAGTGAACGAACCCGTCCCGGTGGTCATTGACTATGTATAACCATTAAATTTGTCATATTTCGGCAACATTGTCTCCCGGTTCTCTGCAGTGGGTCGTAATGCGCGGCTGGGCACGCTTATATAACTGTCTGTATAGTCCATCGGCCAGTTACACACCACCCCCATTTTTTCTGCTTTCTCGATTATCTTTCATAAGAATTACCGTATACGAAGCCATCGCAATTTATAATGTTTGATTTTAATTTATCTATTCGGAAAAGGTGTGAATTCATTCGTGTTTAACCGCCCCTACTGTGTGCCCATGGATTCCTGATATCGTGGGT